TTTTTTGGATTAATTGTAATGGTTTTTAAAACAATCACTCAGTGACTTCCCTGTACAGAGTAGTCTACAAAGTTCTACATACTAACAAAAAAGAAAGATATATGGGTAGAAAAAGAGAGCACAAAGGATATTCCAAGTGTACTAGGTGGGATAAATGGTAAAAAAAAAAAAGAGGAGAGAGAAAAAAGTGGGAATGACTAAATATTGTGTAGCAGATGTCATAACAAAAAAATGAACACAGAAAGTTGAAATTAACAAAGCAGTAATTAAAGGCTGAAGGCTGGTTGAACATTTTGGGTTGTTTAGAGAGGCAACAGAGTCGCTACAGGTTCTTGATCGTGGGAGTGAAAAGATGAAAGCAGTGTCTGAGAAAGATAATTCTAACAGCTGTGTGTAGGAAGAGCTGGAGGAGAAAAGAGACTAGAGAGGGAATAAACAGCTACAAAGCTGCTGAAGTGCAGACACGTGTATTACAGTTACAAACATAATGAAGTACAGAAGCATGAAATATATGAAACATGAAATAAGAAGACTTAGACAACAGTAAAAACTATGGCAAAAAATAAGAAAACGGGACCATAGGTGAGGCATTCTTTATATTTATTAAATTAACAATTTTCATAATACCCCAGCACTACATTCAACATGTAGATATACATTTTTGAATTTAATAAGGTATTAAATGATCAGTGTGCATAATTATACCAACCTCTATAGGATTGCCATTAGAATAAAATGAGACATTATCAAAAGACTTCTCTAATTATGAATACTATATAAATATTAACAGTTCTAATTTCTTAGGGAGGAGATAGCTTTGATATAATAGAAATGTTCCAGCCATAAAGTCAAAAGACATGAATTCCAACTATTTATTTTCTTGTTCTATTATTTAATGGTACTTTTAATGGACCCTAAATAAGTCATTTAACCATGCTGAGTAACCATTTTTAATACGTAAAATGGGAAAAATACAATCTCTCATAAAGGCCTCAAAGAATAAATGAAGTAATTCATAACAAAATCCCTAACATAGTACCTGAATTACAGTGGATAGTGAATGTTCGTTATGTGGCAGGCGAAGGAAGAAGCCAAAAATAAGGACCTATTTTGGCTGACCTCATGGAGAAAAAGTCACAAGCATTTTCAAAGAACCATAATAACTATGCGGTTCTCTACATTATTTTAATAAGAAAGTACACAAGAAAATTCTTCCAATATCTGATTAATGCTCAACTTTAAAAAATGTCCTCTTTTCCACATCATCAAATCCACATCAGCATAAAAGAGCAATAGTCAAAAGCTATATTACCAATGTAATTTAAAAAATAACAGGCAATCAGTATTTTTTCCTTTATTTATAAAAAAATTCACATTTCTAATTCTAATATTTATTACTTGAGAAAGAAGTTAAAAGGGACAAAGGACAAAAAAAATGTTCACCCCAAGTAGCAAATTAGAGAATAAGTAAAGTTGAAGTTAATTTGTCTTATGCGAGACTCTTATGAACTTCTCTCTGATAGAAAAAAATGAATTTGAAGTTCTCTGGTAAGAGCACCTCACTCATGGATCCCTAGAGTAAGGGACTAGGGAACAGTTTATAAAATCAAGTGTAGAGCACCTTTAGCTCAGTGCAGTTTGATAAACAAGATTTACAGAGAATATAAATTAACAGTATTCACAAATATTTCCTCTCTAGCCTAGACCAACAAGGTTCCACTTAGCAAGGGGACTTTAGTATATTATTCATGCATTCATTCATTCAGCTCTGCACAATACACCAAAGATGCACTGTGAGGAACACAAATATAGTATTAGAAACAGCCTTGAAGAAATAAGACCACCGGCTGCTGGCCGCCGGCCACACACAGTAGCTCATGGCAGCCCACTGCAGCAGGGGCTGCAGCCTACACCATCGCCAGTGACTCATGGCAGCCCAGCTCCAGGTCGAGCTGTTGTTCACCATCTTAGCTGTAGAGGGCAGTGTCACTGGCCCTCAAGTGGGATCCGAACCAGGGCCCTGCTGCTCAGAGCTGGCGTCCCAAGCCAGCTCTTAACCAACGTGCCACTCAGCCAGCCCAGGGAATGCTTTTTTGAAGAAGTATTAGAGTAACGTGAATTTGGAAGGTCAGGTAAAAGTTGAAGTTCTACAGGTTCGTGGTACCAATTACATTGGTAATATAGCTTTTGACTATTGCTCTTTTATGCTGATGTGGATTTGATGATGTCAGGTAAAAGTTGAAGTTCTACTTTCTAAACTTGATTGTGCATCAGAATCACAGATAGAGCTGATGCCTGGGTATCATCTCCAGAGGTAGAGCTGAGAAATCAATATTTTCAGTGTACACCACAAGTGGTTCCAAATCGCAGCCACGTTTAGGTCTCACTGAGCTTGAAGTATAGACAACCATTCCAGGCAGAGAGAATAGCTCAGTGTGGCTGAAGTATGTAAGACACAGACAGGTGATCAGAGAGAAATCAAAGCAGAACAAGAGTAGTGACATAACAAATGTGACATTTCAAATAGGATCTATGGAATTTATGTGAACTTCCAAAAAGGCAATCATCTGTGACATGTATTTTAGTAACTGATTTTGTGACATGAACTAATTTCTCATTGAAACATATGGGAAAACTAAATGCAAATACTTTTCATTTCAAGACAAAAGTATAATGCTCCTTTAAGAAAGCATCAAGTTTTTTGGAAAACCAGAGCTCTACTCATAATTGTTATTAAATATAGTGACCAATGTATAAAATAAATTTAAACTGTATTTTTAAATTCAAGCTTTAAAACTGAAAACTATTCTTAATGTTTTTAAGTTTCCAAACTGTTATTTCATAATAATTTTTTGCTTTCTGAATAAAAATTTAGTTACAATTATATTTTTTATACTTAATTGCAGGTAGGAGTAAAGTGGGACAAATCACCAATAAGAAAAGTATTCACCATATTAGGCTAAAAGCCAAATAGAATCTTTTCTTTGATTTCTGTTTATTAAATAACAAATGGTTTAAATCACCGACTATTTAAATCTTTGATTCATTCTTCAAAAAAGATTTTATAAACAGAGATGTAGGCAGGCAATCATTTGATACAAGAATAAGCTTTTAAAGAACATTCTTCAGAAACTTAGGAACAGACCTACTAATTATAAAACACATCTATAGTTACATTCTATTTCTAAAAAGTCCATCTAGATCTTACTTAAACCATTTAAATATTTCCTAATGACTTACAGATCAAACAAAGATTCATTTACCAAAGTGAAAATACTGCCAAACCATACATAGTAGCACCCTGGAGGAGCACATAGCATATAGAATCAACAACAGTTAAAAATCAAAGGATTAACCCATATAGAACTATTTGAGGAGAGCCAATTAACAAATTATAATAATTGGCTAATTACAAGAATAATACCTTTATACTTGATATAACAAATCATCCTTTCTCAGACTTAAGTTAATGTACTTTTTAAAAATACTATTGAGTTGTCTTAATTTCCATTTGAAATACAGGAATTAAATTATCATTGTCAGCTTCTCAGGCTAAAATGGCCATTTTACATGGACTATAACTTTGTCTCCTGAGTCATTCACTGTTTCATTTCTGCTCCTGCAGCACTTAATCATATCTCTATTTGCTTTTTATTGCAATTACCTGAATACTGCAAAGAAGGTAATATTATCACCATGTAAGAGCCGAGGAAACGCTTAGTATGGCCAACTGACTTAACCAAAATCACCACTAGCCCCAGATTTCAAACTCAGACCTGTCTCACTGCAAACGGCAAAGCTCTTTCTACATTGCCTCAAAGGTAGAGAGGAACATAAGACTAAATAAATCAAACCTAAACAACTAAACCGACTGCAGCTTCTTTTATAACTGTGTTGGTAGAAGCAAAAACAGATCTACTGTATCTGGCAAACCAATGAAGGACATGTATCTGGGGGAGAAGGTTCTGCTTCGTATCTGAATTCCCTCACGTAATTAGGAAATATCTCACTATATGAATCTCCATAAAAGGCAGACGCCACCTCCTAAGAAGCTGGGACAGCAAAGGTTGGGTTTGGACAGCAAGCAGCGGTACCAACATTAAGCATTCATAGGCAACGGTAGCAGGTATGCAGTTACTGAGCGTCGCCTTCAGCAATTCACAGCTGCATTACTGTCACTGGACTAGTTTTATGCCATGATTTTTAGATATGTCTTCTCTGCTACACCGTCTTCCTTGTTGCCGACTATTTTAAGCTACAGACTTCCCATCAATTTGGTATGCTAATCAATATGCTTTCAGAAATTCCATTTTATTTCTGAGAAAAGTAGTTTCTTTTGCAATTGCAACAAAAAGAATAAAATACCTAGGAATACACTTAACAAAGGATGTGAAGGACCTATGCACTGAAAACTATTAGACATTATTAAAAGAAATTGAAGAAGACACAAAGAAATGGAAAGATATTCTGTATTCATGGATTGGAAGAATCAACAGTTAAAATGGCCATAATACCCAAAGCAATATACAGATTTAATGAAATCCATATCAAAATATCAATTGGTGAACATACAATGCAATATATGGATGATGTATTATAGAAACCTACACCTGAAACCTAATTTTACTAACCATTGTCACCCCAATAAATTTAATAAAAATAAAAACATTACTTTTCTATTTGAATCAGTCAGAAGTATCTTCTACTGCCTGCAATTAAAAACCCAGACTGAGGCACTTAATGATTAAGTAAATGATACTAAATAATTATACTTTATCAAATCTTTTTACGTTAGTATTGATTGATGTTTTATATAATTTGCCATTATGGTCTTAAGTAATGACTATTGTATACATGATGGTATGTTCTAACAACAATAAAAAAAGCTTCAAAACAGGTTTTCTTATCTTTTCAAAAGCACAAAAATACAAATATAATAACAATCATCCAAGGGTGATTTTCACTGAGGTTCAGAGTTAAGCTTTACTAAGAATTCTTACCTGTCAGGGATACCTAGCCTCTTCACACTTCTATAAACAGAAAGAGTGTTTGCAACATGTCGATAATTAAACCAGAATCGGGATGTACACACCTAAAGTATTAAAACAAATATATTATTTTTATGAATCAAAATAAGCCACTGAGTTACAAAATCATTTCTTTTTAGGTAGGATATAAAGATGCCTAAAGAAAAGAATCTATTATAAGTCAGGCTTAGAAAGAGCAAAGCGCATAAAGAATTGTCAATAAACCAATCTCTCTAGAGAGAGGTCTTTCATAGCTAGTATTAAATAAAAAGACCATACAGCTTAAGAGAAAACAAATCCTTGGGAAATTTAATCAAATACCGAAGTTGATTTTGCTGTCAATTTATGTGATTTTATAATGTTCCAGTTTCTTCTAAAAGATTAAATTCTTAAAAATCAAAGATAATGCCCATAATCTCTTCACAGAATAGAAAACAAAATTAGCTATCTTTGCGTTATACAATATTTTTTTCACTCTGGATTGCTTCCTAATTTTAGTTGTGAAAAATGTAAAATAGAGTCTAAAACATAACATACAAAACAGTTTGATATGTACATAAGAGAATGCATTATAAAGAAGCTGTTGAACTAAACAGAAAACTAGAAACGATTCAAACTAGTTCTACCCTTAACAAAAAAAAAAACCTCACTAGTAGAATGTTTTGCAATTATTTTTCTGTATTTCATACAGAAAATAAAAGTTCTAAAGTGACACAAAATGGCATTTAAAAAAAAAAAGAAGAGACATTTCTAAAAATGATATTAAAGGTACTAGGAAAATCTAACATGATAGCTCAAAAGTCAGCCCTCTCGGGCCAGCCGAGTGGCTTAGTTGGTTAAGAGCTCGCTCAAGAGTTTGAGCTCTGAGCAACAGCGGTTCGAGTCCAGCCCGAGCTGAGCAGCCGCTGAGCTGCCAACAGGNAAAAAAAAAAAAAAAAAAGTCAGCCCTCTTGAGAATCCATTCCAAAACGGAGGTGGGGTCAGTTGGTAGCATACCTACACACCAAGGACCCCCTACCTCCTACCACAGGCCTCTGCTCATGGTAAGTATAAGGACAGTTTTGAAAATAGCATAAACGTTCTTATCCCTGCAAAGAGAAAGGAGCTAGAGGATTTTTTTTTATTAAAATGAATTTTCAACCTGGAATCCAATGAAACTAAAATTTCTGACAATATAAAAATGTAAGCTCCATATGTGAAAAATACCATAAAATCCTAACTGAAATGAAAAACTTGAAGTATAACACAATAAATGATGAACAACTCAATTTTTAAAAATGGGCAGAGGACGAGAGCAAGCATTTCATAACAAGCGTATTAAAAATGGACAATAAAACTCTTAAAGATGCTCAGCTTCTGTCATAATTTAAAAAGCACAAATCAAATGGATAAGTATTCAAAAGTCTGACAATTCATAGTATTGGCAAGAGTATAGGGAACTGAATGCTCATAGCCTACTGATGGAAATGTAAACCTTCTAAGAGGGGTAATATGCAACATATATCAAGTTTGAAAATGTACTTATCTTTTGATTTAGCTCATTTAAGTATGCAAAACTATGTATTCAAGGATTTTCATTATAACATTGCTATATTAGCAAAAATCAGAACTTAAAAAGCTAGAAACAAAACCACTTACCTATCAATTAAAAAAAACACACACAAAAAAAACTATAGGTTCCCTAACTTGAGCAGAAATAGTGTAATTTATATCTGAATTAGTCACAATAAAAACCAGTATATTCAGTGCATTTTACTATACCCAAAAGGCTTTTGTCATCTATTCTAGAATTTAATGAGAATAAACCTAAGAAACTGCCCTCATTTTCACCAGCAATTTACAAGACAGGACATTAAGATGAAAAAAAGTGAAGGGACAAGAAAATACCAATTTAAATTATCACATATTCACTGAATGACGTACAAAAAAAAAAAAAGCAAGTTGTAAAAGAACATGTGGTATGATCCATTCATCTTTGTAAAAGCAAGGAGGGGTAGACACAAATGTGATTATATGCACTTGAAATTTCTAAAAGGATACAGAAAAAACTGATAATAATGATTACAGAGAATAACAATGGGGGTTAAAGAGGAGCACAATAACTTTTCAGTTTACACCCTGTCACACTGTACATTTTTTAACCATGTACATGAATTCTTTTAACTTTTTTTTGGTAAACAGAGGTAAAACTGTTTTATTCAAAGTAGATCCTGAGTGTAAAATATAATCCAATTTTCCTTCTACCTCCCTCTGGTGGCAAAAACTTTCTCAGTCATATTACAGGAGCAAAGGGGCATTTCATTTACCTCTGGTCATCCAGTCAAGACTGAAAACAAATTAATTCAAACTGAGGGGGAAAACACACACTGTTTTAAAATCTGAATTACATAACTTGAAAGAAACGCATGTTTAGTACCTTCAACTTGGCCCTGGTCAAATTTCATAATTTTCCATTTAAGTAAGTACAATTTATTGAAATCTCACTATAGTGAGTTAATGTGTAAAATACTGCACAAAATATGAAAACTACAGTTGTGAAATGTTCAGTAGTTCCTTTTCACCTCTATTTTTCATCTAAAACCCAGGTTGAGATTGGAGGAGGGCTTGGTGAGAGCTTTCCCAGAACAAGGAAAGCTTTAATGTGTGTGTAGTATAAGCTAATAGGCTCTTATTCTAAAGATACCCCTTTGCAATTAGTGGTCTGCACAGAGGCAGTGAGCGACTCCATTTTAAGAGTTCTCATAGAGAGACTAATCATGGGAGAGCCCTTAGTTTCCTGTAGAGAAAGTTATCCTCTCAAATTGGTAGAGCATGGCCTGCCTCCTGATAGTTTTTCCCACTTTAATGGTCAATGAAATTCTATCTCCTTATCTTGAGCAGCTTTTGTTCAATTCCTTCATAAAATCTCTTGTGAGGGATAGCATATAGAACGTGTTTTTTCCTGGAGAACAAGAAAACAAGTCATAAGCCCATGTTATACTGTTCTATTTAATCACAATAAAATTATACTGAATACAAATATGTATAGCAACTACAATCACTCTTTATTTACTTCTAGCAACCTGTTGATAATTATACACTTCTATAAAACTATTCTCAATAAACTTATAAGGCCTCAAATATTCAGATAATCTTCCTTTGGCCTTAGTAAAGCTAATTATAGTTGTATGTTTGTTCTACACTTTCAGCTGAATTCCTCTACCTACCTCCTTTATAGTCCCATTATATTCTTTTAATTCGTGTTCCCCAATTTTCTTCCCTTTCCAGCAAGATTTACTGGCTTTGAAATGCTATACATTCTTTGCTTCCTTCGTTTTTCACAAAAATCATCTCCCTTTCTTGCCTCTTTATTTCCTCATCCTTTCTTCCAGTTGACACTTTTATACATTTTTTTCATTAAGTCAAATGTAAATGTTATTGAATGTTATTAAGTCTGATCATGTAAATGTTATTAAATGAATCCCCAGTAGTGAAACTATTATCCAAATACTTTCCAAGCACAAGAAATATAAAATTGATTTACGTGTATTCTATTTAGGGAATTAAAAATACAAATTTATAAATCCAAATAAAGATAATTCATTCCACCAACAAAAAAAGCAGAAGAAAAAAAAAGGGTCAAAAGCAAACCTTACTAAGAATCAAAACAATGCAGACTAAAACAAAACTTAATTTGTTGCCCAGAAATCAAAAAGAAAAGATAAAAATCAATAATACACAGTTGTCTTGGGATTAGAAAAAGAAGTACAGCATTTCTAGAGGGCAATTATGTTCCATGACTTCATAGCTTTATGCCTAGGAATCTATCCTAAAGAGAAAAATCAGTCAAGTTCACAAAGATGTACGTATATGGATATCCAACATAGCCTTATTTAAAATAATGAAAAATTTAGAATCTACATGCCCATGAGCTGAAGATTATGGTGCATTCATAAAAGAGAAAACAATACAGCCTTTGGAAAATATTATGTACCTCTATATCTACTGGCAGGAAAAGGTTCCTCAAGATATACTGCTGGGGTTATAAAATAACAGTTCTAATATGATCCCACTTATATAAAATCATGTATCTTTATGCTTATATAGGAAGAGAGAAAAGGCTAGAAGAATGTTCACCAAAATGTTAATTCGCGCATGTGGGATTTAAAGACATTTTTCCTTTTTTTTTAAAATTGAGGTGAAATTTACATTACATAAAATTAATCTCTGTCTTCTTCTGAGCTTTTCTGTATAATTCAAATTTTCTACAATGATCATTTTTGTAAAGAGAAAAACAATTTTAATAAAAATAAAATAGTCTAGGTAGAGAGTATCTATAAACTAATATTATAAATAAGAAATATAATTACTAGTTCCCATCATTAACATAACTCTACATTTTATAAGATGCTTCCTTTAATAATAGCACCCCTAGTTTATTCTTATAGTTATCAACACATCACCTATTCACAGATATACTGAAGGCAAAGAATATTACTAGTTAATGTGGTCAATTTAAAATGCAACAAATCATAATAAAGAATTTCTATTACAAGATATGAGAAAATAAATTTTATTTTCAAAAATGTGATCAGACATGTATCTAAGGTGAACCGCATGGTATTTCTTTATAGACTATACTTACCAAAACAGCCCAGTTGTTTGTGTGGCCACTTCTAAAGAACTGCTCTGCTTGATCCTAAGAGTCAAATAATAGCAAAAAGATTAGAAGAAAGCCATATTTCCCAGAAGAAAGAAGGATAAAGGACAGGTAAGATTCATGGAGTTTTTACAGCTGCAATAACAATGTCATAATTATGTAAGCTTATAAAGATTTCAGTATTTGACCTTATGAAGGACTAATAAAGTTTTATTTTTGTTGAGGGGCATTATTTGGAGGAGGGCATTATTCAGTCAGCTCTTATTCAGTTTTCAAATTGTGAATGACTTATTTCATATCTTGATTCTATACATACCATTAACACCATTCCTGTTGAAATTTCATTCAGTATTAATTTCTACTCTGTGCTGGGTGCTTCCAAGTACTTTCTCTGAACTCACTGATATATTTGATTGAGCACAGGCTCTAGCATACTGCTACGTGTCATATCACTAATCTGTTAAACTAAGTCTGAATTATATTTGCCATCATGGAACATTAAAAACCTCAGCATTCAATACCATCCAGATATCTAATGAACATTATTTTTATTATATATTAAAATAATAATAAATACAAACCATAATGACCTCAGATCTGCTCCCAAGCAGCATTAATTACTAGACCAGTCAAACTGCCTGGATTCATATCTGGGCCCTATTACTCACTAGCTGTTACAAACTTAGGAAAGCTGCTTAACTTCTCTATGCCTCCATTTCCCCATCTATAAAATGGTAATGCTACCTGACTCACAGAACGTAGGAATGATGACTGGAACCTAGTAATTGCATAACAAATGTTAGTTGTTTTAATTTTCAGCTTTCAAGAAAATGTTAAGGGCAATGAAATAAAAAATTCACTCAACTCGTGTGAGTGTCATACACACACACATACCCACAAACACACTTTTTTCTGTTTTTAACCTTTTTCAACAGCTGCCTAGATGCTAAAAAAGCAATGTGCTGTACTGGATAAAGCACTAGTTTAGGAATTTGAAGATCTGGGTTTTAGCCCACGTTATATCTCTCACCTGGCTGTGAGACTGGGGTAAGTCATTTAGCTCTTTAGACTTGACTTTCCTCATGTAAAAAATGAGAGTTGACCCAATAATCTCTAATGACCCTTCCAGCTCCAAAATTCTTACATCATTAAGGCTATAGTGAAAACTCCGAAATGGCAAAACTGTTTTGTAACTGTTTAGATAATAGAGGCTCTGCAAAGTTATTTATTCATTCTACATATCCTTAGTGGAGCACTTATTATGTGCCAGGAACCAGGTAATGTACAGTGATACAAAAATCATTGAAAAGCATGGGCTTTTTCTCAAGAGTCCCAGAGTTCAATAAAGAAGACAAGCATGCAAACACATTACACTACAATGTAACATTCATTCATTCATCACATTCATTGGGCAGCATGTGCTAGAATACAATGATGGGCAAAAACAACCGTATTTGCCTTCAAAGAGGTTACTATCCAATTTGATAGACACACGTTAAGCAGATAAGAACAACCCATAATTCTATAAAGGTAAGATACAGAGTATCATGAAAGAGTATAATGGGAAAATGATCTGGGGCACAGTTGGGGGCGGGGGGAGTTCAGGGAAAGTTTCCCTAGAGAAGTGATATTTGGGTTAGGGTCCAAAAGATGAAGGAAAGAAGGAAGAGAGCAAACATGGACCCAAATGGCAGAAGGGGACTTAAAGGTTTTGAGAAACTGAAAGATGATTAGCATAACTAAAAGTTTGAAAGAGAGAAAGAACTAGAGGTGTATGCAAGAGGCAAAGTATACAGGGCCTTGTTTATGGATCACAAGGAAAATTGTGTTCTTTATCCTTAAAGCAATATTAAGATGTAAATAAATGGGTGACAGGATCAGATCTGCATTTTTAAACATTACTCTGGCTGCAGCTCAGAGGACAGACTGGAAGGAAGAATGACCTTGAGGCAGACTAATTGGAAGCTATCACACTCTAAGTGAAAGATGGTGAAATAATAGGTAATACAAAGCATATATGGGCTATAACAGACAAATGTACAAATTGCAACAGTAAAAACAAAGGAAAGGGATGGGGAAGGTTCTACAAAGGTTATACTTTTACTGCATCTTAGTAAATGGACAGAAGAAACAGGAGGTAAAAAACATGGTAATGTGAAAAGGCACAGCAACAGTCACAAAAAAGAGAAATGGTATCCAAAATGAAGTATACAAGAGAATCTACTAGAATGAAAGAGGAAAATAGAATTTCTCTTCACATTTATATTATCTACAAATATGCTTTATAAATAGAGTCTATAAATTAGCAGTAATTCATGAACATATAGAGAGTGCTCAATTCTCTTTTTAAATCGGTGGGGGTATGTATTCAAAAAGTTTGGAGTCCACTGATCTAAACTCAGTGTACTGAGGTGGTGGGAAGAATGGGCTCCAATATGAAGACTGGGAAAGAAGGCAGGAACCAGGTCAGGTTAACTTTATTCTGCATGCAATGGAAAAGCATAGAAAGAATTCATCAGAAGAAAAACCTGATGAGGTTTACATTTTATGAAGACTAATTTTGCATCCAAGTGAGGGGGTTTGGAAGCCTGGGGGAAACAAGACAAAGTTACTGCAATAGTCTAGGCAAGAAATGACCAGGCTTGCATTAAGCCAGTGGAACTGCAGAGGTTCAGAACATAGAATTTTGAATAAAATGTGCGATAAAGAGAGGAGTTTATTTTTAAAATCTACAGGTTTCTAGCCCAGGAGTAACCCCATAGGAGATGGGGTAAACAGAAGATAAAACTTTAGACAGATTTTCAAAAGTCTGCTGGCCATCCGGGACCCTTAGCCAGGTCCATATGCCGGCCTGAAAATGATGCTAGAGACAGACTGTAGAACTGGACTGAGGTATCACCAGAGTACAGAGAATAGTGAAAGTTTTCTAAAAGGCCAGAACGCACTGTGAGCCAAAAATAAAACACAGTATCCCACTGACTCCTAATCAGAGGGGGAGCGTTGTAGTTTAATACTCAGAAAAGTAACCGCTGCACCTCTGTGCTCACATTTCACCAGGTAGGGGCTGCACACAAGTCGGAGCAAAGGATCAGGTCCCCCCGCTCCGTCTCCCAGAATTTGATTATTTTAACTAATCGTTTTAAAAGGCTGAAACAGACCAACCCTGTCTTATCCCGTCCCCTGTGACCCCCTCCCCACAGTCTAGTAAGTAGCTGATGACTCCAGGAGGCTTCCCCCAGCTTCGGGGTATTGGACATCTGCTGGGGCGCTCACAGCCACAACAAAGCTGTCCTCCCAGGGCCCGGTCGCTCCGAGGCCCTGACTCCTACCTCGATCTGACTAGTGGCCAAGCTGCCGAAGGACAAGAGCAACAAGCCGGCCAGTGCAGTCACACCCTGGCTGAGAAAGCAGGAAGCGACCATGTTTGCCGGCTTCAGTCTCCCCAACCTGGAGGGGGCGGAGCAAGTGCCGTAAAGCAGCGCGGCGTCTTTTGCCTTTTTTTTTTTTTT